CCATGCCTGCTTGTGCAGAGCTTTGCAAGGCCATACACTGCATATGGTTATCTGGATTCTGGAACAGCTGAGCGTCTTGCAGACATCCGTTGACAATAATTTTTCAGAGACAAGAACTAATAAGGTTAGCTTGTCCAACACTAATGAGATAGAAACAACACCTCAGCTGACAATATTGCTCGATTTCCTACGACTCAAACCTATATCTTGAATCGTCACAAGAAAAAAAACTGTAAAATGCTACATATATGGGATTCTTTTGCTCCTTTTCACAACTACTAGTAACTAACAATGTTGGCAGTTGGCGGGGCAAATTATTTGTTTCACTGGCCGTTTGAGGATTTTGGTGCACTTTCCATCCAAAGATTCAAGACCTTTTAAGCTTGCAAAGCTGTGTGCTCTGTCTGGAGCTACAAGAACAATGGATGAATGGAAGGAACAGACCTGCAAAGTAGTATTCTGAATAAAGTAGTTGGAAGGTGTACATGACAGGAGGTAGCTGTCGTTCCTGTGACACTGGCAGCCACAAACTCTTCCCAAGGCTATCCTTTTGGATGATACTTCCCAGTCCTGAGAAAGAGACTTTGTGGGAGAGTAAGCTGAGAGAGTTTCAGAAAGGTATGCAGGTATTTTTTATTGTGAAGTACCCAGAGTTGTTCGGTAGCCACACACACAAACACATACATATCTATCATTTCTCATTTTGTCCCCATCAGGTTCTTCTAAACCTAACACCACCCCAGCCTTTATCTATATCTATACCAATATAAAAAGACCCAAAGGGGCAGATTCAATTAATCTCGGCCACCCAATCTGTCAACCCAACGACTTAGACTGCTTCAATGTCGAGCGCTCAACACGTTTAGCGTGTAGTTAATTTCATGCCAAATATAGTCCTAATCACATAATAACACGCAAATAATATCCTACTTAATATTCGCATGCACTTAACATACTTCCAAATTAACGTGCATTGCACGTACACATTGACTAGTTTAATTAAACAACAAAAGATAAACCCTCCTGGATGTTCTATCATCTACCTCTAGACAGACCTGTAATGTTGTTTGCCACTAACGGAGGTACTTCATCAAGAACCTGATCGACATCTGTAATGCTGAGATATCCAGGAGAGAACTTAGGCAAGGGTAAATCTCCATCGAGGTACCGCATTATGTTGGGCCTCGCCACAGGTAAAGGGTGCAAGCACAACAACCCAAGCTTGAGCACCAGATCCGCCTCATTAGCAGCATACTCGTCCAGTCTTGGGTCAATGGTGTCGACGATCGATTAGGAGCCGCTCGCCCATGTGTCGCACACCCACTGGACAAGCACCAGCAGCTCGCCGCGGGCGTTGAACCCCACCGGGCGCCTACCACAAGCCACCTCTAGGACAAAGGCACCAAATGCGAACACGTCGGTCGCCTTGGTGGCCTTGCCAAACCTTGTCAGCTCAGGGGCGAGGTAGCCCCTCGTGCCGGCCACATGGGTGGTGTGCGGCTGTGCGCATTGGCACCATGGTCGTGCAGCCTCGCAAGGTCAAAGTCGCTGAGCCGGCCGTTCATCTCTCCGTCAAGTAGGACGTTGCAGGCCTTGATGCCGGTGTATGATGACCTCCTCCCCGTCCTCGTGGAGGTAGAGAAGCCCAGATGCGACGCCTTTGATGATATGAAGCCTCTGAGTCCAGGAGAGCATCGTGTGCCTGGTCTGGGTGTGGAGGTATCGGTCGAGGCCGCCATTGGGCATGTACTCGTAGATCATGAGAAGCTTATCTTTGTGCCGGCAATAGCCGATCAAGTGGCGAGGTTTCGGTGTCGCAGACGGCCAAGGATGATGATCTCGGCTGTGAACTAGGTCAGCCCCTGCCTTGACTTTGAGGAGATTTGCTTCACCGCCATCCGCACGTTGGATTCAGTGAGGACTCCTCCGTAGACCTTGCCAAAGACACCTTTCCCAAGGAGTTGATTGTCGTGGAAGCCATTGGTTGCTCGATGGACGTCCTTGAACGCGAAGCGGCGAGGACCGAGCTGAGCCCCCCAGTCTTCGTTCCTGTGTGAGTTCCTGATATTGCACCACCGTCGAAGGAAGACAAGCTGTTATACCTGCAAGTATGCCAGCAAAGATAATGCTGCAGGCAGCAACATCATTGTGGAAAGGGACAACCAAGAGCTCAACCTAGCATGGGTGCTTTGCTAGATGATTTCTTTCTCTATCCCTTTGGTTGTGTACTTGTGTTGATGTGGTGGGAGAAGCAAGGCAAGTATTATTCTACTCAGTGGCCATGAACTGCCAACTGGAGTCAACGGTGAAGTCATCAGCACTTCTTCAGTACATGTCGATGTCAGTTTCGAGACTATATAGAGTAGAGAGAAGACGGGGAGCAACTAATTTGAGGTACCCTTCCCTAAATAAAATTAAAAAATTAGAGGATATCTTATAGGTGGGTTTTCTGGTCACTTCGAGGGAGCGCGGGAGTCTTTCAGTGCCGCCACATGCATCATGTGTTGGGTACATCTCGAGTAAAAAGCTAGATGTTCGCGAGAATGGAAGGAGCACGCGCACACAAGAACAACCGCGACCATGGCGTTAGTCTTGTTGCTGTGAAGTGAACTGGCATTTGCTGAAGGGCATGAGGACACCACACTTCTTTTTTTGCAGCTTACCTGGCTGGGCTTGCCAGGCCAGATATCTCGCAGCAGCATGTTGCTGCCTCATTGTAGGGGGGTGCGTAGACAGATGGGAGGATCTTGCGGAGGATGGCAATGGCGGGCTGACAATGGTGGGGCGACTATGACGCACCACAACACAGAGAGCAGTGAATGATCATTGACCAGAAACAAGACCCAAGGCTGCCGAGGAGGCAGCGCGGGGGAGGGGGACTGAGACTGGGAGGGAAGTATAGGCAAAGTCTTAGTCGCCAAAGCATGCGCATGGCGGGATGCTTGCAACCCTTTGTGTAGTATCCTGCAATGCTAGTTATCTTCATTCGCGTGGCCAGCTCTTCTCCTATTAGTTTCCTGCTATATTTCGTCTCAAGGCAACAACAGCAACACCACAGAGAGCATGGGTGATCATGATTACAGTAGATCGACCGCAATGACATGCATATGAAACCACAGCCGAGAAGGACACTCAAAGCACACAAGTTTTGGTCATCCTTGGAGCTGAAACTGAAATGACTTAAGAAAAGCAGCTAAGCACCGGCACATACAAAAAGCAGAGACGGGGAAATCCTACTTGAAACAATACTAGGGGTGTTCAAACGAATGAAACCTGGCTAGATTAAAGAACACACTCATGAACTTTTAAAGATAACGTATAAACATTGTTGATCCCCACAAGTGTAATGCGGCAAACTCCATTAGAACATAAGACATCTTCCCTTCACCTAATGAAAACAAAATCATCATTATGTTAGAAACCTCATATATAATGATAGATCCTAATAGTAGCCCTATGTATGTATGAACAAACCGTTTGTACAAAATCATAATTAGCCCCGGAATATCATATGCCTGGCTATATCTCCTGGCAATACGAGTGACAACAAAATATTTGACACTTCAATTTGTGGATTGTGCGGGAGTTGAATGCCATGACCGATGTCATATAATGGTAAAACAGTATAACATCTTAGCTTCAGCACACTGATATTGAAACAGCCAACATGCTAATAAGATAAACACCAACACCATATTCAAAATTTGGATCATCTGGATAACATTCATGATTAATAAAAGGAAAGCCATTTGCCTTGGCATCACCATCATTTCAACTGGTGTTCTTACTCACAGAAATCAGCTTACTCACAAGAGTGAACCATGTAGCTGAATTGACAGTAGTTTTCAGTTCACACTACCCATGTTGGCTGCCGGATATTTACCACTGACAAATCTAGATGCTATTCTTACCTACTGAAGCATTTCACGACGTTAGAAAGTCCAACCATCCCAAGTTCCTAACGAACAGGGCAGCCCTTCAGTCCACCACATCCAGCAGTAGGGGCTACATCAACAAGTGTAAAATGTCAATTCACAAGAGTGCTGCTTAGAGGACAAGCGAAAATGATAAGGCAACACTAAGTCGGTTAGCTAGTTGAACAAAGACACATCACTTGAACAAAATAACTCATTTCTATCACTAAACTTCAATAGATGTTTACCTCAGTCTTGATACTAGCAATTGATTAACAAAAACATACTTGTTGTACAATGTAAGGAATGCTCATGAAAGCAGTATATTTGCTTATAGTTTATCTCATAATGAATAACCGAACTGATAAAAAGTAGAACAAAAGATTACATGCCAAGAATTTCCTCATGTTAATTCATTCCTTGGAAAGTCAAGCAGGCGAAGTAAAACAAGGCAGAACTAATAAATCTTATTTAGAACAATAAGATTAGGTATTTAGTTTAAAATAAGTGGGTCATGACAGACAAGAAGTTCAATTTAG